AGTGGCTTCCATTGAGAACTTGTGAGATCTTGTGCACTCTGCAAGATCTCACCAGAACTCACCATCATCACTGCCACTTTGCATGTGCCACCACATGACCCAGGTGAGGGAGACTGCAGTGGCGGGAAAGTACTATCCGATTTTGCCTCAGGTGGCAAAACATAGTGTTCTGCTCCTGATTGCCTGCGTAGGCCTGGTGGAAAAGAATACAGTGGTACCTCGAGTTACATACGCTTCAGGTTACATACTCCGCCAACCCAGAAATAGTGCTTCAGGTTAAGAACTTTGCTTCAGGATGAGAACAGAAATCGTGCTCCAGTGGCGCAGCGGTAGCGGGAGGCCCCATTAGCTATAGTGGTGCTTCAGGTTAAGAACAGTTTCAGGTTAAGTATGGACCTCCAGAACGAATTAAGTACTTAACCCGAGGTACCACTGTTGTTTTCAGCAGAGGAAATAGAGGATTAAATGTTGACTAAGAACTATTTTGTTTTTGTTTTTTTAAAATAATATTTATTGCTTTTAAACCTTACGAAAAGAAAAGAAAAAAGAAAAGAAAAAGAAAAGAAAAAGAGAAAACAATACAATATATAAACAATATAAAACGCAACATTAACATTAACACATTAAGCAAAACAAAAACAATTCAAAAAACACACATCATACCATCTCAATATCCTCTCTTCCATTCCCTTGTTTCATCGACCTCCTCTCACCTCCCTTTTTGTATTCCATTTCTATTAATTGTTTCAGCAAATCCTTTCCATCTTTCTCTATTTTCTGTCATGTAATTATCTTAACATATTTTAACCTTATTTTCCATTAATACTATAATACTTATTTATACTTAATTCCTTAAAACATTTCTACTAAAGCCGTATAATTCCCTTCCAACATTTTTCTAACACTCATTAATTTTACATTATTTCCATATATAGATTTTAAACTTTTTCCAATATTCTTCCACCGTCTCTTCTCCCTGGTCTCGGGTTCTGCCAGTCATTTCCGTCAATTCCATATAGCCCATCAACCTGGTGATCTTCTGTCCGAGGCTCTTAACTCTTTTCCAGGTCCCTTCTGCAAGTCTTCTTCATGTTTATACATGCACTTTACTTTGTCTTCTCCTGATCTTGTTCTTATTTTCCTTCCTTTGATGCTGAAAAGTAGATCTCCAGGAAATTCCCATCTAGCAATGTTTTTATTCCTTCTCGACAAGTCAGCCAAATCTCCATAGTTAGAACTGAAATTCAAAAGATATTTCCAGTCGTGTTTCAAAGTTCCTCCAAGTCTGGCAGTCCCCACAACTCCAGTCTCCTCCTGACCCAAGTCCAGGTCCCAAAGGTCAATAAACCCCTGCATGAGGGGATCTATCCAACTTTCTTTCTCCAATCCAAGCAGGGCTCCAATCCTAAAAGTCTGGCTTTCTCTAAATTCAGTCTTGGAAGGCATCAACTTATAATCATCAAATTGCAACTGTAAGGCTGGGGCTCTCTCCCTCTCCACTTGTGCCACTTTAGGTTCCACAGCAAAAACTTTCTCCCCCGCCTTCTCCTCAATTTGCCATGTCAAAATAGATCCCTGTATCGATTCCTGAATAATTTCTGTATTAATATTCACTTTTGTGCCAAATTAGTCACTTTTTGTTCCAAGTTATCAATTTTTATAGTCCTCGCATCCGTCTTCTTATAAAGCTGTTCCAGTGAATCATTAATCTTACAAAATGCAACCACTAAGGCTTCTTCTGTCAACATTCTTAACAATTCAAGGTCAATCCCAGATTCTCACAGTTTTATCTTGCAGGTGGAAAATTCCCCCAGCTCAGCTCTTGTAGCAATTTCAAAGGCTTCCTCTAGGGGGAAACAATTTCTATTTGTATCAATCCTTTCAAGCACAGTTCAAACAATAAAGTTAGTTTCAAGTTTCAGTTACTTTTACTCCTTTTTAAACGCAGAAGGAGACAAATGGAAACAATGTATTTCTCTTCTTTAACTTACTGTCAGCAGATGATCTATTCACAGTCAATGAGCATATCCGAAACTTCAATCTTACTAGCAGCCCGATTCCAGGTTCAGAGCGGTGGTCAAATTTTACGCGATCTCAAATTTCCCCCCTCTTCTCCTGCTTCCAAGGGGGGTTTGATGATTTAACCAATGGAAGTTTAATCCTTTATGAGAGACTTTCCAAGGCTTTAGCTTGCAGCCTCTTTGCTTCAATCTATTTACAAAAGGGGAAGGCGGACTTTCTGTTTGAATCCTCCCTGTTTTGGTGCCAAATTAAGACGTTTAAAAATCCAATTTTCCGTTCTACTCACGGGTAGTTGTGTTAAAATCAAATTGTCCACAGGAAAAAGTCAGCGCTCTCCTGCAACAGCAATGTGGCTTCACTCCGTGAAAGAAGCAGTCAATTTGAAGCACCGCGCCACTCACCCCACGTCGCTCCGGATCCCCGAAACCGGGTTTCCCCGCGAGTAGGGGAGGCGCAAAAGGTGCCAGCCAAATCCCACGTCTACAAGCTTCTCCCGCCTGTGGTTTTTAGTGGGTCTCCGCGTTCGCCGTGGCGGCCAGACCCTGATTTCCACGGAACGCATTCCTCCTGATCAGAGGAATCCCGCCATTGCCGGAGGTGCTAACCCGGAAGCCGACTAAGAACTATTTTGGTCTATATCATCCCCCCCCCAAAAAAAAACACCATTTACACTCTACATATGTCAAGTTTTAGATAAAAGGCAGCAAAGATTTCACAGTATTCTCTCCTTTGATTCCATTAGCCAAACATCCTAGATTACTTGATATGATATTTCAGAGAGGTAAAGCTAAATGGGAAAAAGAAGAGGTGTTATAGGCTGTGCAACCAATGGAGTCAGTTTTTGTCTATACAGTGCTCCCCCCACCCCTTAAATTTTTAAAAAAGATTTAGTGGTACTCTCATTTTGATTCAAGAAAATCACAATGACAAACCTAGACAGTGTCTTAAAAAGCAGAGACATCACCTTGCTGACAAAGGTCCGAATAGTTAAAACTATGGTTTTCCCAGTAGTGATGTACGGAAGTGAGAGCTGGACCATAAAGAAGGGTGATCGCTGAAGAATTGATGCTTTTGAATTATGGTGCTACAGGAGACTCTTGAGAGTCCCATGGACTGCAAGAAGATCAAACCTCTCCATTCTGAAGGAAATCAGCCCTGAGTGCTCACTGGAAGGACAGATCCTGAAGCTGAGGCTCCAATACCTCATGAGAAGAGAAGACTCCCTGGAAAAGACCCTGATGTTGGGAAAGATTGAGGGCACAAGGAGAAGGGGACGACAGAGAATGAGATGGCTGGAGAGTGTTCTCATCTCAAAGCTACTAACATGAGGCTGACCAAAGTGCGGGAGGCAGTGGAAGACAGGAGTGCCTGGCATGCTCTGGTCCATGGGGTCACGAAGAGTCGGACATGACTAAACGACTAAACAACAACAACACAAAGATTCACAAAATGTTTATGGGTATGCATACCCCTGCATCTGCCCAGAAAAAAAGAAGAAGCACTGGGCCTACATAAGGGAAAACAATATGCCATAAGTCGTGAAGAACTCTAGGACAACTATTGCATAGCACCAACATGTGATACTAGAGGAGCTTATTATCGCTTCTGGTTGGAGTGTCCTCAGGTAAAACTGTTCAGGGAAGAGGTGTTCAAATAAATTTGTAATATTATCTAGGAAGCTTTACAGTGTACTCCACTACTTTTTTTATTGCCCATATTTGAATATGGAAACATAAATCCAAGGAACCTGAGATAGTATTACTGGTTGCTGTGAGGCATACCATTGCCCAAAGATGTGAAACATTGCATAGTTTGAACACTGCAATTTGGCAAATGTGTGGAACATTGCCATTTTAGGAAAGAAAGAAAAAACATTCATAATTTGTGATCTCTACATGGAATTGAAGCTCCGGACGTTTTTCACGCTATGTGGTGGAACTTCATTATATGAGCTACCAGTGTGAACCTGCTTCAGCAACTGCCTGCAGTATCCTTGGAAATTTGGAATGCATGAGTAAAATGCAATATAGATTACTGCTGATTATGTACCCATGGGATATAATTGCATGCATATATTTGGTTGATGTTTTCTTTATTTTTGCTTTTGCTTTTTTGTATTCGCTGCTTTTGTTTTATCTATAAAAGCAATAAAATGTGTTTGTTTGTTTCTTAAGGAGAGAGAGCAAGAGAGTGGGAAAGCATGACTTTCACCTATGTATCTGAAATTTGAAGGGTCTAATCAGTTGCAGAATGCCAGAAAATATTTTGCTAATAGTACTGAAAACATAGAAGATACAATAAGCAGGACCAGTGCCAGATTTACATATAAGCTAAACAAGCTATAGCTTAGGGCCCCACTCTCTTTGGGGCCACCAAAAAATTAAAGGGAAAAAACTGGATGTACTTTCCAAAATATAAGATAAAAAACACAAATAAAATAAAACCTACATACAGCAACAGTGTTTTTTGTTGCGTAGGTTCCTATGATGTAAGGAATGGGCCCCACCTGCTATATAAAGGGCCCCATTACCTTCAGTAGTTTAGGGCTCTTCAAACCTAAATCCAGCCCTGATCAGGAGAGCAGTTGTGTGTGCCGTTGAAATCAACAGGAAACAAAATTAAATGGGAATAACACAGACAAATGAAGTGGTAACAAAAAAAAAATGAATGAGGAAATGAAAATGAATGGAATGACTAAACTCCCCCTGCCTTCACACACCTAAAACATGCATTAAACACATCAGGTTGGATTCTAACCCGGTACACTCACAAAACCCATTGCAATGACTCTGTCAGCACAATAGGACAGTCCCTCTCTCCTCCCCCCAAATTCTACTCTGCTGGTTTGGAAGAAACTTCAGAACAGTATGCAGAAGTAGGAGAGGAAAGATCACTCCACCTGGCAAGCAGGAATTCTTAAGCTGATAGAAAAAAATATATTAGAGTGATGTTGGATTTTGCCCATCAGTTACCTTTTTGAATCTCACTGCTTTAGTGGTAAAACATCTGCTTTGTATGCAGAAAGTCCCAGTTTCAATGCCTGGAATCTCCAGGTATGGATGACAGGTATTCCTACCTAAAACCCTAAAATGCTAAACCAGTCAGTGTTGACAATACTCAGCTAAAGGAAGTACCGTATTTTTCGCTCTGCTCAGCACCCCTTCAGCGAAGCGGCAGGAGAAACGGAGCCCCTTCCATTTCTCCTCCCGCTTCACTGAAGGGGCGCTGCACAGCTCTCCCTCTCTGCTGAAGCCAGGAGCGTCTTGCTTTCTTGGCTTCAGCGAAAGGAACCCGAAGCCTTTGGAGCGCAGCGGGAGGTCCCTCCGCGAGAGGCTTCGCGTTGCTTTCGCTGAAGCCTGGAGAGTGAGAGGGGTCGGTGCACACCGACCCCTCTCGCTCTCCAGGCTTCAGTGAAAGGAACGTGGAGCCTTTGGAGCACCGCGGGACCTCCCACTGCGCTCCAGAGGCTTCGGGTTCCTTTCGCTGAAGCCAGGAGTCTTGCTCTCCTGGCTTCAGCAAAAGGAACCTGAAGCCTGCGGAGCATAGTGCGAGTTCCCGCTGCGCTCCAGAGGCTTCAGGTTCCTTTCGCTGAAGCCAGGAGAGTCTATCCCTGAAGCCTGGAGAGCGAGAGGGGTCGGTGTGCACTGACCCCTCTCACTCTCCAGGCTTCAGCGAAAGCAACGCGAAGCCTCTGGAGCGCGGAGGGAGCGCTCCCTCTGCGCTTCGGAGGCTTCGCGTTGCTATCGCTGAAGCCAAGGAGCCTGCATTCACTCCATAAGACACACACACATTTCCCCTTAATTTTTGGAGGGGGGAAAGTGTGTCCTATAGAGCGAAAAATACGGTAATTGTCTGACTGTATAAGAAGGCTTCCTGTGTTGTGTGTTCCTATCACACATCCTGCCCCAGAGTGGGATCCGCTTTTGTGTAGAGGAAGCAAAAGGTCTGAAGAGTGTTGACAGAGTCTCCACAAAAACTGCAATGTGCATTATAGAATCAGGAATGGATTCCAGGATTTACTCCGGCCATGAGCAAAGAGGCTTAGAATGGATTGTGAAACACACCCACCCCTTGAGTATTAGAGTCTTCTATTTGCTGTCCAAACGCGACTAGAAATCTCTTTCCACCTCTAGCTGACACCCAGAGTTATGCATCAAAATGTCTTCAAGTGTGGAATTTGGGGTCCTGTCCAACCTGTTCTTGCTGCACCTCCATGTACAAATATTGTGCTATATAAACAAATCAACAAAAGAACCCTAGGCAGAAATTGCTTGCATTTAATCGATTGCTTCAGGCTGCCTTTGAGTTGTGCTTGAGCATGAAAACGTTCTGAGAGGCAGCTGTGAACATGGGCGAGGGGTTAAAATAAATACTTCACTGGTTGTCTAGCATTCTGAAGCCATTTCATAATGAAGTGGCCTTGATGTGACAGGGCATGCTTTGTGGAGTCATTAATCCCGGAGTCCAATGTATCATCCTGTACCCTGCAGTGCTTAATGGTTATTATTATTATATCAATCTCCCACTTTTTAATTTCTGAGAAGCCCATATTGGCCCTGTTCCTTTTATAGCATTTTAAAAATAGGACAGGACATTGATGGAGATGAAAATTGCCTTCTGGACCACAAAAGCCTGCTGCTATTATGCATTTGCCTCCTGTACTGAACTTTTGTGAATATTATTTTGCTGACTCTAATTGACAACCATGGCACCATAGTGACAACATGCAACAACTGCCGTCCTCTCTGGGGCTATTCTATAATCTACCCATTTTAATGTATACCTGTGATACTACTAGAGTAAGCATTCCACTTAACTTTTCAAAAGAAAAAAGGAGGGCAAATATCTTTGAATGCATCAGGTGTTGGCAGATAGCGAGCTTGGATGATGTTTAAGAAGAGATATTGTCCTGGTGAAATAACTGGCATAATAAGAACCAGTGTGGTGTAGTGGTTCAGAGCGGTAGACTCGTAATCTGGTGAACCGGGTTCGATTCCCCGCTCCTCCACATGCAGCTGCTGGGTGACCTTGGGCTAGTCACACTTCTTTGAAGTGTCTCAGCCCCACTCACCTCACAGAGTGTTTGTTGTGGGGGAGGAAGGGAAAGGAGAATGTTAGCCGCTTTGAGACTCCTTCGGGTAGTGATAAAGCGGGATATCAAATCCAAACTCTTCTTCTTCTATGTGGGCTCTCTGTAGATCATGTAAAGACTTAAACTGGAAAGAGGGATGGGGGCACACTTGCCAGTCATGTCCCCATCACCCCCACATATTTTGACTCAACATTTGACCCAAATGCTTTGAACATGAATTCTGAAGCTTCCTTTCTTTACCTTCAAGCCTCCTTCAGAGCCTCATAGGAGACAGGTGGGGCTAAACACATTCCCCCTAAACACATTCATTTTGAACCCCTGAAGGAGAAGCTTCATTTCAATCTGACTGACCACTTACCAGGTTCAAGAGGCCCAAAGTGGTCCACCACCAAAACATCTTTTGCAGCCAAGGCTTAATATTGGAAATTACTTGGTCTAGGATAAAACTGCCTGGTTCGACAGACAATGAGATGCAAGTGGGGGGGGGCGTTTCAGCTTCCCTTACTCATTTGCTCCTTTTCATTTTGAAAGGACCTCATCCTCTAAAGGTTAATGGGATAGAAAGAGATCTTCTCTATATCCTACCTAGGGTTGAAGCATCACCAACAGCAATACAGCATTCTCTGTGACTGCTCCCAATACTGTGTCCTGTGAAGCGATTCTGGATTCCTTTCCGCTGGCCTTTTGCTGGTTGGTGAATACATTTTTTATTGTTGGCTTTTTAATGGCATCTGTAATTGCTGTATATTTATAGTTTCATATGATGTGGCTTTAAAGATGAGTTGTGCATAGGCAATAGAAAGGTGGTTTAGATCATTCAAAAGAAAGAAAATTAAAGATGCCTTTTTTGATGCCTTTCTATAACTTTCAGGAATCTGAAAAAGTAGAAATTACAACTGTTGATAGTCACTAGAGCACTTGGCTTCAAAGCCATGAAACAGCATGATAGGGCCAAAGTAAGCTTAGCTAAAACACTCTGTCAAGGTCCATTATAATTTTTGGCTCAACAATTCAATATATTGGCAATATAAACAAAAACAAAATTATCTTTTAGTAAAGAAAATAATGAAGTTAAATAAATTCAGTGCTTGATATCCAGAATGTAATCAGTGACCACGATTCTACGAAATATGCTTTGGAAAACATAATGTAGGATTATGAGTTACGTAACATATAGTTCTGCAAAGCATCAGTATGCAATACAGTGGTGCCTCGCAAGACGAAATTAATTTGTTCCGCGAGTTTTTTCGTCTAGCGAATTTTTCGTCTTGCGAAGCATGAAATCCCATAGGAATGCATTGAAATTCAATTAATGTGTTCCTATGGTCAAAAAAAGTCCAAACAAAGCCAAATTTGGTACAACAAGAGTTTATTAAGTGCTCTTTAAAGTCACACATACTGTAAAGAGCATTTCAAAAATTGAAGGAACAATAAATTAAGTTTCTAAACATGACAGAAAAACATTTAAAAATCAACAAAGTGTACAGTACATTTTCTAAGACTCTGGGGACAACTCGAAGAAGGTTCCTCTTCCACTCTTTGCTTCTTGCTGAAGAACCCCCTCCTCAACTGTTCCCCCAGCCACCCACCACACAGAAATTCAAATCCAGAATTTTTTTAAAAAAACAGCAGAGTGGCCCAATGGTCACAGAAAATCATAAAAATGCAGGAAAAACAACACAAGCTTCCAGACTCTTGCAAACCCCTCCCCAACACCAAGTCCTTGAATTCCAAACACCCCAACCCAAAATCCAAAAGCCCCCCAAAAAGTTTTAAAAGTTTAAAAGAAGTTTTGGAAAAGCTTCAAAAATCACCAAAGTCTTCAAAAACCTCAAAAAAGGCTACCACACCACGTTCTATGAGTTGCTCCTCGAAGTCAAGTCGCAACTGTATTAACGGTGTTAAGAAAAAGGAAACAAACTTGCAAGACGTTTTCGTTTTTCGTCTTGCGAAGCAAGCCCATAGGGAAATTCGTCTTGTGAAGCAGCTCAAAAAACGGAAAACCCTTTCGTCTAGCGAGTTTTTCGTCTTGCGAGGCATTCGTCTTGCGGGGCACCACTGTACTCAGTGGCAAAATAAAGCAATTATGAATGACAATATGCAGCCTGAGATCCGTGTTCATGCCTTGGTTGAAATGATTATGTAAAATCCTAAAATAATGCTGTTAATTAAAATGACTTGGAGATAAAGCATTGTCTTCAGTTGCTCAACAAAAAATTGGTTGTTTTGTAAATCATTATTAAGATATGCAAAATACCTAGAGTCACTGGTCCTGTTAGCTAGGTATGATGGGAGTTGTAGTCCCAAAACAGCTGGAGGGCCGAGTTTGCCTATGCCTGAGCTAGAGGGTAAAGATGTGGCAGGCAGGACATTTAGAGAGGGTTTCGAGCAAGGAAGGAAGAAGAACAGGGGAGAAGTAACAGAAAAAGTAAAGAGAAAAGAGCTAAGGGAGGAATAAGCCTTGCCACAGTGACATAGGACATAGCATGGGAGGAAGGAAAAAGCAGCAGTCTTGGGACTAGATCCTCCAGTGGTGAGTCAAGGAGGGAAAGGGTTAAATGAAGGAAGGAAGGGCTATTTGCACACCTAATGATAGAAGTATTAATGAGGAAGTAGCAATGCTTCAATGCAGAGATATCAGCAGTCTTTTCCTGAAGGCAAGTGAACCCCTGAAGATCTTTGGGATCCATGATGGGAGATGGGAGGCTTTCACAACATCATTTATGTATATATCAGAACAACTGAAGTTGTACCCATGCCTTGTTGCAGTGATGATGATCACAATAAGTGTGATGCACCTGTTCCTTTAAGACATTGAGGGAGAATGGTAGAATCTATCATACGGCGCAGTCAGACATAGAGTTTATTGCATTACTTTTATTGATTGCAACGTGAAATGTACATAGCTCCTTTTATTGATAAATAGCCTATGCATGCAGTGTCAGACGAGGGGCATGGAA